AAGAATCGGCGACAGGAAGAGAACTTGAGTTGGTAACTTGGGTTTTTGGGAGACATCGTGGGTTCTGAATGAGGGGATGATGAGTAAATTGTAGGTGAGGCTGAAGCCCACTGACCAGGTGACAGATGTGAATGTTCACGTACACATGGACACACACACACACACACACACACACACACACACACAAGCACGCATGCTCGCATGCATACACTGAGCTTTGCAGCCCACTCTGGGAGCATTTTGAATCGCTTCCTCCCGCCGCAGAGGCCTGAGTTGGATCGGCAGGTCGGTGGGTACACGGCCTCTGCTCAGTCAGGCCCTCCCACTACTGGGGCTGCGTGGTTCCTGGGGGCCCGAGGATCACCTTCTCTGCTCCACTGCCAAGTAGGAAGGTCGTCTGGGCCTTCTGTAGGAGCAGAGAACCAGGCTCATTGAGACTTCCGGGCCGCTGGGGAGAGCTGGCTGTGCGGGGCTGGGCTCAGGCAGAGGCCTGTTTTGGTGCCCAGGCTGCCTGGATGCCCCTGGTGGTAGATGTTCCTAGATGTAAATGGCGTCAGAACCGCTGCACAGCCATGTGCACATGCAAGGACACACATCTGGGTATAGAAATACCACTCGCAGACACGAGTAGGAGTTTGGGGGCCTCTGTTTGGCAGAGGCCAAGGGCCATGAGCAGGCAGGACTACAGGCAGCCCTTGGCCTTCCCAGGAATGCCCCACCCCACCCTGGAATTCCCCACCCCACAGTTCCAGCCTGTGGGCTCCTCCCCGATTGCCGGGGCTCTGGCCTGGGACAGGCTCTGTGCCAGCAGCAGGACCAGCTGAAGGGGGTGTCTGGGAGACTTCCCTGGGTCTCTGCTGTGTCTGCTTCCTTCTCCCCAGGCTGCTCCTCTGATGTTGCCTTTTTCTGCTCTTCCTTCTCTCTCTTCCTTGCCTTTTCCCCTATTGGTCCCATCTTCTGTCTCCCTGGGGGGCGGCCCAGGAGAGGCCCAGGGCTCAAGCCTCTCTGGGTGACTGGGACCTGCCTTCTCTTTCTGCTGCCCCCTATCCCGCTTCCAGAACCAACCTGCCTTTTGTCCTAGAGCACAGCACCCCAAGGGCTGCTGGCCTGGCCTCCGCCCTCAGCCTCTGCAGCTCCTCCCAGAGCCTGGCCAGCAAGTTGGGCCTTGGAGAGGTCATAAAGCCAGGACATATGACCTAGCCCCAGGCAGAACCCTCACCCCAGCCCCAGGCCCACAGTCCCACCAGCCAGGTCCTGTCTGTCCTCTAAATTCCTTGGAGACCAGATCGAGGCCTCTTCACTTGGCAGCTTTGGTCTGGAAAACCTTACCACGGCTCAGAGTAGGAGGCAGGTAGAGCAGGATGTGGAGGCCCCATCAGAACTGGTGCAACCGGTGAGGAGGTGGATGAAGCTGCTGCGCCCTGTCATCCCCCTTGAAAGTGAGGTTCAGGGCAGACCCTGCCTGGGAAGGGGGAACGAGAACCTGGGTCCCTTTGACAGCTGGTGCTGTTGCTGGTGGGAACAGACCCTGGGATTTGGGTGGAGGAGGAGCAGCCACCACCCTCTCCCTGTCCATTGTCCAGGCCAAAAGCCTGCTTGGTGCCACCTCTAGGGTCCCCACTTGAGCTGGACCAGAAAGAGGGAGAGGCTCAAAGCAGCCAACCCTCTGGCCCATCAAGCACCCAGAAGAGGGCTTGTTCTCCCCGTGCTTGTTAGACGAGAAGTCACGTGGTCAGAGTCAGCCTTGTCACTCCTGGAAAATGCTACCTGCTAAGAGATGCCTGACTTCACGTCCTGGAATTCAGGGAGAGGAGAGGCTTCCGTTCACCAGTGGGATGGTGTTCAATTTAAGACCCTCAAAACAAGTCCTGAAGCTGGGCATGGTGGGACATGCCTGTCATCCTAGCATTTTGGGTGGCTGAGGCAGTAGGATCACAAATTCAAGCCCAGCCCTGGCAACTCAGTAGAACCCTGTGGCAAAATGAAAAATAAAAAGGAAGCCTGGGTATGCTGTTCACTGCAAAGACCCTGGGTTCAGTCCCCATTACCACCACCACCACCAAAAAAAAAAAAAGTCTTCATGGGCCCAGGGCTACTAGTTGCTATGGCAGATGACCTTGGGCAGTGTTATATCATGGATGGGAGGGAGGCACAGCCATTGGGATGATGCCAGGCTGCCTGAGTAAGTGTCTGACTAGTGCTTTCCTACCACCAAGCCTCAGCTGATATCTGGGAGAGATTCACTTCCTAGGCTGTGAGTATTCAAAGGCAGTAGGGTAAGGGTGAGTCCAGCCCGCTGTTTGAAACGCATCTACCTCTGAGCATAGCTGTTGCCCTGTTCATGCCAGCAGGGTTGTGAGGGATGGAGAATCCAGATCATCTCTATGGACCTGGGCAGGGGCTGCTGCTGGCCAAAGGAAATAATCATGACAGAATTTCCCCACTCTTTCCGCTCCCCTAGGTCTTCAAGGCACCAGTGTACCCTTGCATTTGCACGTGCTCATGTATGTGTGTACACACACACACACACACACACACACGCCTGGGTTGGCTGCCGAAGATCTGACCACCTGCTGGAAAATCAAGAGCTGCCTCTTCAAAATAATGATTAAGAATCAGCATTGATTATTCAAACTGAAACTCCCCAAACCCTTCTCTGGGGTACTCAGCTCCTCTGGAGTCCGTGGGTGAAAAGCTCTTACCATAGTGGAAAAAAATGTTCTGCCGAAACAGAAATCTTCCTCAATTTAGCTGAGTCATTTTCTTGTGGCTAAGGAAGTCCGGGTCACCTCTGGCCCTTCCTCTAATGCCCATGGCCAGCCAGCTTGAGGGACCCCAATCCACATTCCTTCCTGGTAGAAGGGATGCCTTCCCCAGCTCATGCCAAGTCTTCCCAGCAAAGCCCCCGACTGTCAGACACTTGACCGTTTTGGGACTCTTTCCATGGCTGCTTCCTGCTCCCACGTGGGAGTCCAGAGCTCTGGACAGCTGGGACCAGAGGCACATCCAGAGCAGGCCGACGAGGAGAAGAACCGGAGTGGGACTGGGTAGATCTGGGCAGTTCCCGCAGGTCTCTGCCTCTGCCTCCTGTAGGGCACAGAGGCCCCTCTGGATTGGCACAGTGCCTCCGTGTCCCTGGCTTGGGCAGCTCTTAGGACATGGCAGACATCAGGACTCCAATCTCTCAGTGTTCAGTAGCCTGGAGACCCCACTGAGGGCAAGAAGCAAAGGGTGGGTTCCTGAAGGATGGGTAAGGGAAAGAGTACTCACAGCAACAAGAGGCGGGGCCTTGATCTCATCATAGATCCCAGAAGCCCTAGCCCATGAGCTGAGGCTGTGGCCTCAATGTGGCAGGTTCCTGTCCAGGCGGGGCTCCTAGTTCATGGGAGGCTGGTGCTGGTGGGTGCCCCTGCCTGGTCCCAAGCTGCCACCCCTCCCTGGGAAGCCTTTAGGAAGATGGAGAAATGATGTGGACCAGCCAACTGGGTGCCATGTGGAAGGCTTTGAATGTGCCAAGCTGCAGGGAGGGGAGTTAGTTCCATGGGCGGTGGGCACTCTGGGGATGGCTGAGTCATCTACCAGAAACCAGTGACCTCCAAGGAGGGGCCTCCCACTCCAGTCCCCCATCTGAGTCCTGGGCTTCGTACCTGGGCTCCTCCCCTGCACAGGCCTAGTAATAGGTCAGACTCTCTCAGCTGACAAATGACATGCATTGTCTGGTGATGCTTCTGGCCTGAGAAATAGGGATGCTGATAGTCCCTGGGCTGGGAGTACTGGGAAAATGCAAGGAATGGAAGAGTCAGAGAAAAGCAGGAGGCCAAAAACACTCATAGACTGGGGGGACTGAAGGACCCTCCCCTCAATCTTTGCTTGAAGGATCTCACGGTGGTCAGACTTCGCTGGTCTACTGGGCAGGAGCAGTACAGCAATATGGGGTGGGGGCATGTCCTGTACCCATGAACCAGGCCACTTGGTGGTGCTCTTCTTGGCTCAGAATGCCAAGGATGGAAGCCACCAGCCTGACACCACCCACGTCCCCAGAAGTCCCCTAGAGATACTGTGGGGCTAAGAGCAGGCAGCAGCATTGTTGGGACCCACATGTGACTCCAAACCAGACAGATCGGGGATATGGTGGGCAGATGCCAGGGAGGCCACCTCTCTGGAGGGTCCCTGTAACCCATCTCTATGCCCAGCTGGCATCTTCCCACCCTGCCCTAGGGGCCGTGTTGCCCAGAGACTCCGAGTCATCCCACACCCACTTGGACTTGGTTCTCTTGAGGCTCTGGCAGCCAATGTTTGGGAAATTAGGTGAGGGGGGCCTGGGACAAGGGTGAAGACAGGGACAATTTATGTCTAAAAGTCATCCTGAAATCTTCAACTTATTTTTTATTTTTCAAAACAAAAGCTGTAAATGCTGGGGGGGGGTTGCTGAACCTAGTTTTGTGGGAAATGAGTCAGACAGCCATAAAATGTGTTTTTCTGGGCTGAGGGGATTATTTTACATCTTGTGGCATGAAGACACTGAGAGGAAGCCATCATTTTGATCCTAGTGGGCCTCTTGCTTCTGCTAGGCTGGACTTCAGTGTCACCCACCTTCCTGGGTGGGGCGGGGAGGCTCTTCTCCCAGACCAGATGACTTCTCTGTGTTCTCACCTCCCCAGGTCTCTCCCATCACCCTCCCTGACTCACCTCCCATGCTTTGTGTGTGTGTGTGTCGGGGGTGGTACTGGGATTGAATCCAGGGCCTTTGCACTGAGCATTTTCTTTCTTTCTTTCTTTTTTTTTTTTTT